ATATACCAAATACCAATATATAACAACCAAATTTGTTGGTAGCCAAATTAATTGGTACCAAGTACACTTGGTACAGTACTGGTAGCTAAAATCTTATACCAACTATAGTTGGTACGGTACACGGTTTGAAGACAAAAAACTCGGTACCGTACCAATTCCACCCCTAATATATATATATATATATATATATATATATATATATATATATATATATATATATACACACATAGACACACACACACAGAGAGAGAGAGAGAATGGACAACAAGAATTTTATTAAACGACATCAACCAGCAAGATGCTGTTAGAAAATAGGGGATGAATAGATTGCTTGGATTCTCTGAAAGTCGTGATTCACTATCAAATTGAAGTATTTCGATGGTACAGATCGAACACTCAATTGGATGAAATTCAGAGAATAAAATCTGAGAATGTATGTGAAATGTTCTTCAAGATGTACCAGAAAAATGACCAAAAAACGGATATATCATTCCTGTCTGAAAACTGTCAATAGACAGTTACAAACTGTCATAAAACTACCAAACCTGTCACTAAACGGATCTCAGGGAAAAAAGGGTCAACTTTCTAAAATTGGATGTTTGATGCATTTTTTTAATATCGATCCCAGTCAGGGGCTCTGCCCCTTGGACCCCCCCAGGGGCGCTGCCCCCGGACCCCCGTTCGTTTAGGGGCTTCGCCCCTAAATAACAATGTACTTTGAATCTTGAAAAACTTGAACAAGTGTGCACTCCTACACCATCCCAACTTGTTCAATATTCAACAAGATCACTTTTGGTCAACAAATTTAATCCTATTACACTTAAATAATATTGATGATATAAAATCACCAACAGATTCTATGCTAGTTAAAACAACATTACAAACGATTTTTTGATCTAAACACCATAGATCGCACGAAACATTCCTACCCTATTTAGATCTATTTCTAATCCAGATATATGAGAACATTTGGATCTCATTAAAAAGGACGTTTGTCGACTTCACCAAGCTATTTTACAACTTGTTGTTTCTTACTCGCCATAATACCCATACGAAAGTGAGTCTGATTTCACCCAACCCATTTGCGTCCTTGTCTTTCGACATATGTCCGGAGATCAACCTTGCCAAGTCCTCTAAAGTGCTCACCTAACCCACTTTTTGATCCCACCATATAAATACCAATAACATTGTTTCTTTACCGGCAACACATTCAAGAAAGACATGTTTTTTATTTGAGCAACTATATAACCATATATTCACAATTCTAGCAAATTGTTAGAATAAAATTGATATTCAGTTACAAGGGATTTATAATCCAAGCATTCCAAATTACATCGGACTTGGATGCTCGAAACTTTAACCATGGAAAAGAATGTAAAATAACACTATCAAACGATGAATTTTTCCTAAAATGAACCGCATTAAACACCAAAGAATTCTGCAATCTCCATATCACCCAACACGTTGTTACCAAAATCACTTGTAGCGGCAACTTGTTATTTTGAGATATTGCTTGGTCATCAACCCAAGAGAGCCACTCTTTGATCGATCACAGAATGTCATCCCACACCACCGAGCCACAAGAGACCAAAGAACCGATGCCACCTCACATTAGAAGAATAAATGTCTCGCGGTTTCACCTGTTAAACCACAACTTAAACCACAACATGGACACACAATCGTTGTTAAGTCCATACCTTTTTTCGATAAATTAAACCTAGTAGGTATTCTATCAAGAATCAACCTCCACAAGAATATATTAAGTTTTTTTAGTAGTGAAGAATACCATGTAGTAGCTTGACCGCCACCTACCATAGATACATCTTCAGTATAGCTCCTTGTCACCTTGACCGAGAAGTCCCTAACCGGATCTAATGACCACCAGGTGCATCAGAAATCACCACTCCTTGCAACGCCTCCAACAACTGGGTAAATTTTGCCTCAACTCGATCTCTAAACTGTCTATGCCAGTCCCATATCCAAGATCCATTGCAAAATCTATCACTAACCAAGCGATGAGGATTAGATTCTAGTTGGAATAATCTATTAAACCGAACCTGGAATGGTTGATCTCTCAACCACACAACTGTCCAAAACTTAACCGTATTACCTTTACAAATCCTTTTATAGAGTGTTCCCGTTGGAATAATATTGGATTCATCCATTTTGTGAATAACATATACAATATTTGCCCAGACTCCCGTACATCTCCCTCCACTGATGGACCTCACGAACCCACCATCTTCACCATGAATTGATTTTATGATTCGAGCCCAACATGAATCACCATTAACCATAAATCTCCAATGCCATTTTTGCATTAATGTGTTATTAAAGGCTGAAAGTCTACCCAACCCAATGCGGCCTTTTTAAAGAATCGAAATTACGTGATCCCACTTTACCCAAGTCAAATTATGGGAATGACCCTCACCATCCCAAAAAAAAATACTTCTCAAAGCTTCAAGTTTCTTTAAAACACCATCCGGTGTTTTGAAGATCGACATGTAGTAAATACTAATGCTCCCGAAGACTAATTTTACTAAAGTAGATATCCCTCCAACTGACAAGCATCTGGCCTTCCAACCTGATAATCTTGATTCGATTTTTTTATCACTACACCCCAATTATCCTTCCTATTCATATTTGCGCCCATCGGGAGCCCAAGATAATTAAACGGTAACTGACTTGCATTGCATCCATATGAAGCTGCCACATGTTGAAAATTATTCCAATCAACACCAACACTATATAAAGTTGATTTTTGCATGTTAATCTTCAACCCTGAAGCTAAAAAGAAATTTTGTAAAACTTGTGAGATGTTATTGATTTCAGACTCCGCCCATTCAGTGACAAAAATCAAGTCCTCTGCATAAAGCAACTGAGAGAGACGCAACTCTTGATGCCCTACTATGACACCACTAATAAACTTGAACTCCATTGCTTCTTGTATCATCATATGAAATCCCTCCATAGCAAGTATAAACAAAAATGATGATAATGGATCACCTTGGCGTAACCTTCCATGTAGGGAGAATCCAGAAGTAGGGCTCCCATTTATGAGTACTGATGATATAGCTGACGTTAAACATGCACGAATCAAGATTCTCCAAGTATGGCTAAACCCGAACCCTTCCAACACATGATCTAAATACTTCCAACTTAATGAATTGTAAGTTTTCTCAAAATCTATTTTAAAAATCATCAATTTCTTCTTTTTCTTTTTATACCAATCAATAATTTCACTCACTATTAGTGGCCCGTCCAATATTTATCTCCTTTTTATAAATGCAATATGTTCTTCCGACACAATCGATCCCACCACTCTTGTAAGTCGAGTGGCAAGAATTTTATATTGTTATAAGAGATATATGTCTAAATTCCTTTATGAGAAGCGGGCTCGGGACCTGAGGAATTAATGTGATAAACGATGCGTTAGAGCCATTTGGGATGATACATGTACTAAAAAAAATCCTGAACATATGCAATAATATCACCGCCCATGGTCCACCAATACTTCTTAATGAAGTAAACTAGGAATCCATCAGGACTAGGTGCTTTATCCCCACCACAAGACCACACTGCATCTCTAATCTCCTCCTCTGAAACATGTCCCTCAAGAAATTCTCTATCAGCATCCGAAATAGAAGCAAATCGATGGCTATGATCCTCCAGAATTAATACGTCTATCGGTCCAAATTTTTCTTTAATAAATTTCAAAAATACATCTTTAACCTCCATTGGATCGGTGCGCCAACACCCATCTACCATCACTCCCTAAATTGATTGCTTTTTCCGACC